GTGTCCGTGGCGTCAAATTTTGATGTACCGCCAGAACACACGAATTTGCTATAACTTGAGTGTACATTGTCCATTCGGCTCCAAACTTCACTTGTTGTGATAAGAGTTCTGCCCTGAACACTTCTCCTTGATAATATTCAATAATAGTGAGAGCGCCACCTAGTGGTGTCATTTTTACACTTTTATGTATATCTCCCAGCAGATTGGCCAGATCCAGCTGAAATTCTGTCAGAAGTTCCTTAGGACGATGACGATGACATCTTATGAATCTTAAGAATTTGCGTGGAACCATGTTGCCATGGCGATGCGGCGAAAATCAGCTTTTCTGTTAACATTTGAACACTTTTTGGGGGGCTAAACATGCCCAAAAACTCATGAAACTTTGCACAAAATTCAGTCGTGGCAAAGGCTAAGGTATTGTCTTGGTCCCGTAGATGGGCGTCGCAAAATGGCTTAGCCACGCCCCCCAGAATCAGCCCCCAAGACACGTATGACCGCCATGTACGAAAATTGGTACGCATGTGTCTCAGGATGGGACAAGCAAAAAGGTCCTGCACAATGCTGCTTGCAGCTCTAATTTTATCTTTGTTTTTTTACTGATTTTTACTGATTGCATAAGTGCAGAGAAAGCCTATTGATGATGAGTGTGCATATATTTTCCCTGTTACACAAAAAACAGCTGCAGTTGTCAGTGTCCTTTTTTAAATAAATTTCAAGGCTTGAAGAGAGGTAAAACATGGACAGGACTTCTCACCGCAAGACCTGCATTTCATTTTTGAAGGCCTGTAATTGCTCAGGCGTTGGCTCGGTGACTTTAAGGATCTTGATTGCCACGTCTCCGTGCCACTTGCCCTTGAAGACTGTTCCAAAGGAGCCAGCACCTATTCTCTTCTGAATGTTGACTTCTCGAGAGTGCACCTCCCAGTAGTAACTCGAGTCTCTGTAGCCCCCTCGGTGCTGAAACAAGACATGGATTGAATGTTTTAAACAACTAACTCACACCATAAGTAAATCCCTCTTTGGGGAATTCTGTTAGTACACCTGTCTGAAGACAACCAATGACCTGTGAACTCAAAGACCACATACCACTTTCTTTTTGTCGTCGGACGAAGAGGGCTTGCGCTCCTTGTGCTCGGAGGGAGACTTGGGCGGCCTCCTCCCCGGAGAGCCAAGAGAAGACGGTGGGCTGGTGGAGGGCTTCGGTGAGGGCTCAGGACCTGCAGGAATGAGAAGGCAGGACAAGAGAGTGCTTCAAAAAGGAGCATAACACAACATGTAATATTACAAATGAATATTCTGAAACAAAGGAAAACAATACAATCTAAAAACATACCTATTGTGTTGTTGAATTTTAGTGCTTCCTAAAATAGAGAAGAGACACATTAAAATGATCATCATTATAAATTTACATTTGATTTCATGACATTGACTTCATACACCAGTTAGTAAAAGGCATCTCTGAACAAGCCCATGTTTCAGGGCTTCCAGTGTAGCCAGGGAATATCTGGAAAATGAAAAATATCCGAGCAGTGCAATCTGATTAGCAACTTGATATACAAGTATGACAAGAAAAACAGATTTTGGTTAAGATATCTGTTTACAGAGATTAGTAAAAGGTGTCAAGTCAATGGTTTTTCATGCCTACTTTATAAAGACCAAACATTTTCAAGCAATGGATGGGTGGGAAAACACTGGACAAAAAGGTCAATACAACAACAAAGCTGAACAGTTTGTTTCCCTTCTTTCCCACCAGGTGTGATTTCGGTTTTACAGTCAACAGTTAACATGGTTTACGTGTTCAGTTTTTATACATTGAACAGATAAATGACGACATACAGCAGATACAATTGGGTCCTCGTAACAAACTAATACAAACATGCCAACACTGACCTCTATAATGCTGGCACCAGCAGGGCCTACTGTGCTGACCATATGAACATTGGGAGTGGAGGTGGAGCGATGCCTCTGTAGAGACTGGCCATCTCCACCCGGAATGGGAAAGCGAAAGGCCGAGGTTGGGGACAGGAGGTCCATCCTGAGTGATCAAGTAAAATGGTCACAATTTGTATTTGAATATCACTTGCACTGACTAACACTAAAGTAACTATAACTTTCAGTTTGAATAGGATTTCTTTAGTATGGGACCTTACCCAGCAGGCTCTGGGGTTAAGGCTAGGTTGCTCTGCGATGGGGAATTTTCTGGCAATAGTATCTGTGGGTACTCATCTGTGCAAGTATTGGGATCACACCTGGACAAAACAGAGGAAAGGGGATGGTACAAAACCAGAACCATAATGAGACAAGGTGTCAGAACACTTACTTCAGATAGCCCAGCCAAAAAACATTGCAGACAATTTTTCTGCTGCGGTCTCAGGTGAATGGAATACAGTTTACAGTAGTTTTGACATGGAGTGGCAAACATGCTTTAAAATATGATACAGCTTGTCTCAAACAAAACACGCACCGAGGTTTACATAATCTGTGAGTGAGGGGATAAAATACAAAATACAAGTTTTCCAGGACAACACGTTATTTCCAGGGATTGTGGTAATTTTAATCAATTACCTGGTGTTTGCATGACTGGAAAACTAGTCTCTAATTTTCCAGGTGTTCAAGGATTTCCAGGGTACGTGGGAACCCTGGATAATAATTATCAACTACTAAGTGAGTGCATAGCTGTCTTGCCTTTATTATTTAATATGTATGGTCCTAAAAACTCTTGTTTTTGGGTTAGGGTTAGCTAACCCTTTTACAAAAAAAGAAACTACTGCCAAATGGTCAAATTGGGGAAGATAGTGAAATGAGGTCTAATGCTCCCGTAAAAAGCTAGCAGAATTAAGTGGGACATTCAGCTCACGCACTAATAAACTGAGCAGAATCACTGCATGATATCAAACATTGTATTTCCAACTCACCGTTTGCTCACTGTATCCATGTCCACGCACACAGTAGGGACCTTGCTACTGCAGTGCTGGTGAAATTTGTAGCCACATGTCTGACATCTGAAGCCGTTAAAAAGAAACTTGTGGCAAAAATCACAGTAAGCCAGCTTGAAAAAGGTTTTCCGTACCTGCACAGATAAAGAGGTCTCAATATATTCACTTGTATAAACAGCAATGATTAAGAACATTTAGGTAAAAATCCTGAGAGGTTAGCATTCTGTAAATATAGGGTATTTTTGAGAAGCTATAAACTTGTAAACTGGGTATGTGTGTTTGACAGCTACTTACAAAGTTGTGCATGGTGAGGGGAATATCATCCAGGACCTCGACTAAAAGCTCCTCTCCAACCAGAGGAGTGATATCTGTATCCCAATCTGTCAGCCTCTTACGACTGGAGAGACAAATGACAGTTTGTACATTGTTTTAAAATCCATAGATTTCCAAACCTGAGGTTGCTATTATGTTTTACTGTTTTTCCTAATAACTTCCATGTTTTCATGTGGTCATGTGAGAAAAAAGGGCCTTGGTCTGTATTATCTCTAGGTACCTCATGTTTCCATTCTAGTTTTGAAGTGTATTGAGCAGGAGGAAGAAATTCTGAAAAACATATTTGGGACCCAAATAAAATCTCCTGTGTCTCTGGGAATGAATGCTGTACAATGCATAGATGTCATGGCAACTCTTTGCTGTTGTATGTAGGCAATGAGGAATGCAACTCATTAACTCTATACAGTGTTGGAGGACATTTTTTTGACTTTTTTTTTTGATTCCTATCTTCTCTCTTTCTCTTATGAGCGATTTTCTTTTTTTATACAGCGGACACACGTCCTGTTCTTGTTCTCTTTCTAATTCTTGATTTGTTGTTTTATCTAGCTTTCTTTTTTGTCTGGCCCGTGGCGAATTTTTTTTTTTCACCTTTTGACAGAGAACTGCATTCGCATATTTGACTCTTGAAGCTTGCGCATCTATTGTTTATTTTCTTTTTTTTCCTTGTTTGTTCTATTCCTATTTTTAGGTGACTATATATATTCATTACTTTTTTGTTATTTTTTGTAAACAGTTTGTCCATTCTCTGACATAACTGCCATTTTGTGACTAGAATCTTCAGTTCTAGTGTACATTTCTCTCTCCTCAAATTTTTTTTTTATATTATGCTTATATGTCATGCTGCTGTCTAATGGTGTGTTTCCTCGTTTTGACTTACATGTGCATTTCTGAGCATGGTTCACCACGAGTAACACAAAACAGACGTATCGGTACATGGGTCGGTTTTATGTGCTGTTCACTTGGAAAAAAGCACGTACAGACTGGATGATTCTTGGCAGGATTTCCTTCAGCCAGTAAAGTTCTCCTTTATCATGGTTTCTGTGTGTGGTGATGAGGACATTACGTGAGCTCATGCATTGTCTAAATATCCATTTAGCAGTATTTTTCAGCAATAGGTTGTGGTGCAAAAATAAATCAGGTCTTGTTGAGGTTTACAGTTGTTCTGCATTGTAAAGCTCACATACACCACTTGCTGCTTTAGATATGAAAGACATGACAAAACAATTTTAACTACCATACACAACCGATATCATTAGGACTTTTATTAGGACAATTTAGCACAATACCACAATGGCAGGACAACTGCAGAATATGAAACCAAGTCAACTATGCCTGAATAAGTCAAACAAATGGAAGATGGTAGCAGGCACCATCTTTGAAACCTGACACCAACTGTCCACTAGCTTACTCATTCTGTGAAAGATGTCAAATTTTGTGTGAGTAATTACACTCACAAACAACAGTGTTGGCATAATTTGTTCACAGAGGTGGTAACAGTCATCTAGTTACAGCATACTCATATTTATGTGTTTTTCTGTCAATGTGTCATTGATAAAGAGCAGTATGGAGCCAACTGTCTCACCACTGTCCTCTGTTTGTTGGGGAGGTAGACTCGGATGGTCCCCCCACCTCGGGGTACATCCTCCGGGCTGGTTTCTCCTGAGGAGGAGTACGAGGAGGAGGTGGAGGACATGATGAGAGACAAGAGGAGCTGGGGGACTCAGGAATTAGACAGCACAACCTCAGGAAAGCTTCATGCACAGTGGGATCCAGAAGAGTTAGCCCTCTACTTAAAACCTGCAACAACAGAAACAGATTTCAGTTTAGACAGAATATATCTCTTGCGTACATAAAGTGGGTCTGATAGTTGGGAAGAAGGGAATTTTGGGTTCTAGATATGACGATGGTTCGACTCCTAAGAAGTGTGACAACAGAATGCACAAAGCCAAACACCCTTGACACTGTTCATGGTTGCAAAAAACTAAACAATAGATCACTTTTGAAAGAAATCTACAACCGCACAGACAAAGCAGCACAAATGTGCCCATATCAGAGAGGGCCATGAATCCAAACTAGATATTTTATATTTAAATACAGGCTCTCGTTATTAAATATTTTGAGGACACAGACCTGGAAAGCACACTGGACCAACAGAGTGAATTTGGAGATGATTGATATGGAAGCCTAGCATGACTCGCTTTATGCTGACTGTATGATTGGAAGAGTGGAACACTGGTCATTATTTGCTGTAGGAAAAACATTTTTTGGTGTGTATTGTTTGCTATCTGTAAATATTTAATATAAGTTTAATATAAGGACCATGATGTCGATCAGTGGTACCTGGGGGTCGGGACCCCCACTGTGGGTCGCCAAAGCTTCATGGGGGGGTCATGAGGCCTTTAAGGCGTGCTAAAAAAGTTTTAAAAAATATACATAGTAGCTCTATATCTCAGCATTTGGTTCACTTCTGTGAAGAAAAATGAATGTAAAGTAAATTGCCTAAAAGAACAATGGTCAAGCATCAGGGACAAAACCGCTGAATTTAAAAAAAGATGCCTATTAGTCTAGTTAAGTCTGTATGGTTTAAAAAAAAAAAAAAAGATTTACAGATAGAACTGTATACAAAGTGTTCTAAACAGGAAATAATTCATCCAAATCACTTGTTTTACACAAACTGTCTGCAGTTACTGAGTTCACGATTTTGGTTCATTGCACAATTTTGAATAGAATATGAAATATTCATAAAATGCGTCACGTAGTCAGGGGTTGTCAGTTTACTAAATGATAAACAAAGGGTCCCTTAAGGAAAAAGGCTGGGAAGTACTGGTCTAGACCTGTTGTTATTAAAAGTGTCCTGAGATAACTTCTGTTATGATTTGGTGATACACCAAATGGTGAAATGTATATTTGTTTTTATTATTATGAAATTGTTCTATTTTTTTTATGTTTTATTTATTTACCTTAATTATATATATATATATAT